GTGAGAGTCTATGAGTTAGAAAGTCTGTCGGAGAGAGAGGACAGATAGCTGTGTGAAAACTTGACGTGTTCAGAAAAATACGTGGTTGAAAGTTTAAATGTGGAAAAGTTACGAGAAGGATCGTAACTTCTCGTTGGAAAACTAAACACAAACTAAAGAGCTTAGCCTAAGTGAGAGAGTCCTGTCAGGACTAAAACTAACAGAGTATGTGATACAGTTGACAAATATATTTACATGAACCTTATTCCCAGCCAGTTACATAATAACCAAACTCTTATTTTGTTCCTCTTTCAATAAATCCTATTTTATTTAAATATATCCCAGAATTCATATCAATTCTTCCTATTTTATTTAAATATATTCCTCTTCTTCCTATTTTATTTAAATATATCCCAGAATTCATATCAATTCTTCCTCTGGACTACAATAGATCCCTGAAAAGCCTGAGCCTGTGTTACCCTACCAATAAGAGAAACAGAAGGTTTGGAAATCCTTAAATTGCTGGTGGTTTTACAGAAATACAGATTCCTATTTTATTTAAATATATCCCAGAATTCATATCAATTCTTCCTCTGGACCACAATAGATCCCTGAAAAGCCTTGAGCCTGTGTTGCCCTACCAATAAGAGAAACAGAAGGTTTGGAAATCCTTAAATTGCTGGTGGTTTTACAGAAATACAGAAATACCCAGTTTTACAGAAATAAAGAGCACATTTAAAGAGAAATCCAGTCCTCCCTAATAGGCGGTAGCCACAGAAAGGTTGGGATAAGAGCTAAGAGTACAGCTGTCATTGATTCAAAGTCATTATTCAAACTTCATTAAATGCTCCCTGTTTATGTTTTCTGCTTGTTTCCCCTTGGCCAACAACTATGCCGGTTCTTATTTCAAATCCCATCATCCAAAGGCTCAAAGGAAAGAGAGGTCATAAATGTGTTGCTGTTTGGCTTTAATACATGAAAATTAGTGTGCATCAGGGCCTACCCTTCCTGGTTGAGCTGGCCTTGGTGCCCTCTCCCCTGCCTTACAGCCTCCAAGGCAGAAAGAATACTCAGGACCTCGCTTGCACAAGGGGGCTCCTGTCTTGGGCAGGGTGTTAACTTGATCCCTGATGTTTGAAAAATATTGACAGGTTGTTGACCTTTCACCCCTTCCTGCCTGAACTGCTAGGAAGTTCCTTACCCAATCCAAAGGTAGGGAGTCTGCTCCAGCCTGAGATAAGTGAACCCCCTTCTCTCAGTTATGGTCTCCCACAGCTTGATGCCCAGCTCATGTTTTAACGACAGCTATCCATCTTGCCCTTCCTGGCAGGTACAGTAATTAGTTATCTCTTCACAGAAAGGCATCTCCACTCTTCCTGTCCCTTTCTGCATTGTATGGCTCTCTTCCCTGGGAAAGCAGAAAGCTCCCAGAGCCCTTGTGCAGTGGTACCTACAATATCACGAAGCTTTTTTTGCTGAAGTTGAAAACTAGTTGAGCTCAAGCACTTTTTAACTGTCCATGAATTCTGTTTCAAGTGACTTGCACCTTGGGCAGTTAGATGAACCAGTTGGGTGGGGGAATAGATTGCTTTTTAATAGAGGCTAAAAGTTTAGATTGGCCTTCTTATCTTGCTTTACCAGATGTATCTCAAATTTACCTACAGATTAGCTCATATGTTGTTTATGTCTTATTTTAACATCCAGATAATATCGCAGGATTTTTATGTTAGCTAATAAAGACTTACGTTGTTTATCTCTGATTTTCTTATGAAAACTAAATAATATCATGATTATGGTAGACAAGATTTAGAGATAAGATAAGACCTGGCATTTCTCTCTAAATATGCACTCCTGTGACAAGCAAATCCGATTTCTCTGCATGGAAGTCTCAGAAGAAGAACAGGTGAGATTTCTTGGTGGGTAACTTGGGCTTTTTGATTAGCCCTAAAAGCAGTGAGACAACCAGCTGAAACCTGATTTGCTTTTAAAACTATTACTTGCTAAAAAGCAATGCTAGGTACTTTGACACTTTTCACATTTATTTTCAGGGTACTTGTAGGATGAACTTTTTCATGCTTGTATTTCTTTCTGTCCAGCTCATTAAAGAAAACAACTTCTTATCTCAATAAATGATAAAAGTTTCTGCTGGTGTTCTGTCTGGTTTGCTGGTTATACTCAAAGAACCTTACTCAGCCCCTTATTCTTTTGTATGATCAGAATTAAGGGTTATAAATCACACTTTAAAGTGCTACATTCAGACTCTATTTGGATGCAGGATGCAAGTATAAGACAAATGAAATTTCCTAGAGAATATTTGCCAATAAAACAGCACTCCTTTATTTTACATTTTTTTGTGAGGGGGCAGTGTAAAAATTCCACCGAGCCATGAAGGGCTAAGGGCACTGCTTTCAAACACAGAGAACAGTTATTTTAGTAAATTTATCTCCTGAGTAAGTGTGAATACTTTCCAAACCAATGTTTGCATTTTAATAAAGGTTTCATTTAAGGTATACTACGCAGAAAGGAGATGGTGTAACAATAAAAAGAAATATGCAAACAAAACTATCTGGAAAGCTTTTCACAGGTATTCCCTAGGAGGAACTAAGGAGTCCCTTATGTCAAGTCGAAGATTTGATGAGTGCTCCCCCCCTCCACCGGAAGTCCCACCTCCCTGAGGGCCCTGCTTGAAGGGGAGGGCAAGAGGGCGAGGGCAGGCAGCTCTGGGAAGCATGGTGGCCACGTGGCAGCTTTACCCCAAGGGTGTAGCGCCTGGCCGTGGGCCGTGGCTGGGAAAATAGAGTCCCTGGGTGTTTTGAATATTTTTGGGGGGTGCAAAGGGGCTTTTGTGATTGTGTTTTGTGACTGGGGAATGCTTTCAAACAGGCTTGGGGGGGGCTGGGACATGTGTGAAATAGAGTGCTGGCTTTTTGCTGTGAATGTGTGAAAACTGTACAATGCTTGTGCTAACATTGTATGAGGCCATTGTCTTAGATTTGTGCCCTGCTTAGTGCAGACTGTCCCTCCAGGTTCTCTTGGACGGCTCCTGAGAGCCCCCACCCCAGAGAGATGTCCCCCTCCTCACAGAGAGCGAGAGGTAAAAAGTTCTACTCTTTACAGACATGCCCAACCGCCCTCTGTAAGCCCTAGCGCTAGACAGCGCAGTTTTAGTGCAGGCTCCCCTCCTCTCTAGGACCCCCTGTGGAGCCCCAGCCCCACCGAGACAAAACCAGGGAACTTCCACCCCATCCCTCTGTAAGCCCCAGGCAGAGAGGCAGATCCTGGAGCAATGGAGCCTGGAGTAATGCAAACAACACAGGTGAATTCTTCTTATTCCTTGTTCACAAGAGAAAAAAAACCAGTGATGCTGACCAGAGGCTACACGTCCGGGCTGCCGGTGTGTTTAAGAACATTGGTTTCAGACTTGATGCGGTGAAAATATATGCATAGATGTGAAGGATGACCGTTTGGTGTTTAAGGTCTACCTTTGAAATTGATGTGTTCAGACAGTTCTGGGAAAGATATTACAATCCGTTGACTAAACCTTTAATGATGCTTATTGTTATAGTAGTTCTGGGAACAGCTGTTGAAAAGCGGTAAACATCCAATGTAAGAAAGTTAAGTATAATCACACTTGCATATGCTATGTCTTCCGTAGAGCCCCAACCCCGCCAATGAAGCAAAGTGGTAATCTCTCTGGCCTACCTCACGGAGCTGGCGTAGGCTAAAATTTCCAAAAACTGCTGTAAACGCTGTAAATCATTATCGTTTAGAAGTTTAGAAAACTATGGAAAGTTTTCAACCAAACTATCAACAGTAGCATAGATTATTCAAAATAGGGTGGTGTTTTTGTGCAACCATTACACTTCCTTTTTCAGCATGCGGGCCTCCCTTGCTCCCATCTCCCCGCACCTTGTGCTCTAACCCCCGACTGACATCTATGCCCTAACAACCCCAATGCATCTGGTAACAGATCCTGATATAGGCACAGACTCTTCTTTGGATCATGCTTCTGTTGAGCTAATTCAGGATGGATTCAACAGTCTAATGTTATGCTTTTAAATGATTCTGCTCCAATTTTTATATAATGATCCTACCCATTAAGATAGCAAGAGTAACTAAACAGTTCAACAGATAAAATACATGGAATGATTGTTACTGCTGTTTCTACTGCAGAGAGGCCGGTGGTTGATTAATTCCATCTTTTATTGGATGCCTACGTCTCAGGAGGCGAGCTGGGAAAAGCTGTGTGTATAAATTATACTTCAAGGTATTTGCTTTAAAGGGGCAGTGCCTTAAGTGGGTAAATATATTTATGAAAAGTATTGGAGTTCCAGGCGTAGCATTGTGAAATCAGCTCTCATTTATTAGTTACATCGGAAGAAACAAAGATAACTTGGCCAACGAGAGCCCGGCTTATATCGGTGCACACACTCACACACAACACCCCCCCACTTCCCGTGATAGGTTCTATGTACAGAGCCCCTGTAATGATAGGTTCTCTTCAGGATCCTAGCACTCCCATTGGTTCTTGCTAGGATCCGCGGGGGCTATTGTTCTAGACCCGAAGGTCCGTGAGTCCTGTAAACCTTCTGTTTCTCTTATTGGTAGGGTAACACAGGCTCAAGACTTTTTAGGGATCTTTTGTGGTCCAGAGGAAGAATTGATATGAATTCTGGGATATATTTAAATAAAATAGGATTTATTGAAAGAGGAACAAAATAAGAGTTTGGTTATTATGTAACTGGCTGGGAATAATGTTCATGCAAATATATTTGTCAACTGTATCACACACTCCTAGCAGAACCCCCTCAGTTCAGGGGCAGCCTCACTGGTATGTCGGGAACCACCACCGCAGCCACATTCACACCTCTCTACAACTGACACTCTGACACATCCACACAGATTCTCTTCAAAACTCCTCCCCCTCTCTGTCAACCACCAATCACACCACACTTGTCTCTCAATCAATCTACTCTACTAACCTTTGTACTGCAACCAAACCTTTTAAACACACACTCATAACACCAGGAATCGTTACACCTTCTTTCTGGTTCTATTAGTTTCTGGAGGAGTCCTTCAGATTCCCAAGATCAATTGGGGAAGAGTCAGGGCCCATCGGGCTCTTTATTCCAAAGCCAACTTCAGCTCCACCAGTGAGGAGAAGGTTCAGACCAGTGCAGAACGTTGCATCAGCAGCAAGGAACAGAATACCCAAGGCCACCTCTTCTGGGGTCCCAAAGCGTCCCATTAGCTATAAATGTGCAAGAGAAGAGAGAGAAATGTAGAATTCTGTACTCAGCTCACATAAGATAAGATCATGAGGTCTCAGAAGCTCAATCAGGGTGGGGCAGGATTTACTAGCGGTAGCATTCAGGTTTCCTGGGTGCAGAATTCTAATTTTCGTTTTTTATTCTGCCAATGTATACACACCCTTACTTCTTATGACCTTACTTCTTATGACTCCTTTATAAAGTTTATATCTCCGGTACCCGGCATTACATTTTATGGCACACGTGACCCTGCCCGACAAGGTCTCAGTTATGTCAGATCTGGCCCTCATAAGAAATGAGTTCGACGCCACTGCTCTAGGACTTCTGTCCCCCATGCCCTGCAGAGCTGCCATTTCCTCCTGAGCACTGATCATTCCAGGAGAATGACAGCTGTCATTCCAGGAGAACTGCAGGTCCCACTCTGAGGATGGCAATCCTTGGAAGAACCATTCATCTCCACCAGCACCATTCCTGTTTACCACGGGTGGCCAAACTGTGGCTCGGGAGCCAGATGCGGCTCTTCCACACATATTGTGTGGCTCCCAGCAGGACAGCTGGGCAAGCGAAGGGGAGGCGTGCCTCCCCTCCAGTGTTCCCTTCCCTCTAAGCTGAGTTAGTGTGAGTTGCAGCTCTTCCACACACTGGGCAAGCGAAGTGGAGGCATGCCTCCCTTCCAGCGTTTGCTCTAAGCTGAGTTAGTGTGAGTCAGCGCACAGTTTTTTAGCCTCCGGCTCACACATTTTTGTCTCAGCTCAGGAAGGATGGCTCCAGAGCAAACTAATTTATGCAGGAGCCAAATCGCTCGCTCAGAACTTTAATGCCAGGAGCTCACAAAGTAGAATTCTTGCTCACAAGACTCCACAGCTTAGAGGGATCATTGCTCCCCTCCCCGATCAATCGGTGTTCCCTTCCCCAGCCAGTTCCCCTTCCTGGGTAGCCTTGAGGCGGGGGGGGGGGGGAGCAGAGAATGAAAGCAACAAAGAAAGTTAAAATGCATTCTCAAAGCCCCACCCTCACCTACAAATATAACTCAACAAATAAATATCATTATCGGTATCTATTTTTATCCCTTTTTTATTTTTGGCAGTCTCATCTAATGTTAACAAAAAGCAAACTTGCGCATTTTTCAATAAAAACATATGTGTAATATTCATGTCATGCAGCCATAAAACATTATTCTATGTGGCTCTTATGTTAAGCACGTTTGGCTACTCCTGCTGTTTACCCACAACACACTTGCCTGATAACTTTCCGCTTCCTGGACTACGGCCTCTGGATTCTTATAACCATTTGCTATTTTTTCCCAGTAAGGAGTCCAGATGTTACCTGGTGAGATGCTAAAATTCAAAATGATTGGTGATTTTTTTAAAAAAAAAGATCAGGGGAATCATGAAACATCAATAAATATGTCCCCAAGTTATGTGTCTTTCTTATTATTCCTAGAAAGACAGCAACTTCCACGATGACCTTACAACTTAACACATTCAATAAATTTTTTCACCCCAGACTCCTCATTATTCATTTCTATGCCCCAGAAAAAAACATACCATGGAATGCAGCCTCTGCAATCTCAGTCCACGGGGAATTAACAAATCCTTTGTTTAAGACACAAGAAAAAGCAACAGCAAAAACTCCAGGATTTTGTAAACTCTGTAATCCTCCCCCACTCCATTTTTTCTCCTTTAACTGACTCTCACCTGCTCTTTACATGCCGGGCTCCCTGGGGCAGATTCGGTTTTCTTTGAAGCTGGATTCCCTCCCCCCTCTTCTTGCACTTATTTTAGTTAATTGACAAAGCTGTACTTTCCTGCACACCTGGGGGAGACCGACACCCCCCCCCCCACACACACCCCTTCTCCATCTCACAGGGAAGCAGATTCCTTCTTTGCATCCGCTGAACTCGAGAAGCATATCCTCTCTCGAATTCTATGGAAGGACTGAATCTTGAATCCAGAAAACCAGTGAGGAAAGAGAACAAAGGACTCCAGACCCTGTTATCCCCAAGATTAGAGGAGACACACGTCATCCCTCCCCTGCCACAAAATCAGTGTGGCAGGCCTGTTCTTCTTATAAGCAACAATATTTGAAATGGAAGAGAAATTTGTGGACTTTGTATCACTTATACCTTCTCCAGAAAAGTTACCCCAGCCCATTTGTCTGAGTGTTACAATACCAATTTCTTTCAGTACCAATTACCTGTTATCATGCCTTATGTTTTCCCTCCTATTATCTCTTAATTTGCTTTAGGAAAGAAAATCGTTGCCTGTAACTCCTGGCGTTGGGCTATGGGGGACCTGTCTTTCATTCCTGAGAGTATTCTGCAAGGGTCACTGTGCACCGAGGGCTCTGTAATGATAATAATCACTTTTACCTGTTGACTCGGACTCTGTATTTGCTCTCATCTATGGCCAGGGCTTTGGTCATCGCAATCCCAGCGCCCTGCAAGAGAAATACACAACAAGCGGCGTTGCCAACTGACCAGAAACCACTTGACCTCCTCCTCTTACAGTCTGATGTGCATTAAAAGAAGGTTTTTTTAAAAAAAAGATACGGGCTCAAATAATGCCCACAATCCAA